ATGTGGACAACATCCGGATACAGGTCGCATGTTAATGCCAAGTGTAAACGCAGCCATGGATTATTTTACAGATCTCCTTGCTATGTTTCTGGACTTGGGAACATTTCAGTTGTATTGCTGTCTATGCAGGGTCAGACAGCTGTCAGATTCCATCAAAAATATCTTAATTTGTGTTCCGAAGATGAACGAAGGTCTTACGGGTTTGAAACGACATGAGGGTGAGTAATTAATGATAGAATTTTCATTTTTGGGTGAACTATCCCTTTAAGGCCTGTTCACACTAAGTGTGTTGTAATAAAATTATTTGATTCACCTATGATTGTTTGCACAAGAAGTATTCCAGTCATTCACATGCTTTAATGCAAAATGCAACCTCTCTGGCTGAATACACATTTCATAATTATTACAACCCATCACTAAAATGTAACATTGTCCTTGAATGGAGCAGTGAAAGTTAAATGATGTGATAGCATGACATTGGAATGTACCATAGTGTAAAGATAATATTGGTGAACTGTAGTAATAGTACAGCTGTTGGTCGAGTAAATTGACATTACCATGTGTCGGTTACTTTTGTCATTCTTTGGATGCTTTTATTCAAAGAAAATGCCAGATAAAATATGCAAGCATACTTGACTTGTTTGTTGCTTCTATGGATTAATGTTCCTTTAAGTTGGATGCCAGCCAGTTTAACTTGCCTTTAATGGCAGTTCTGGAAATTTGACCCAAAAGCACATATCTGATTGGTTTAGGGTTTTCATACTTTCTATTTTTTAGATTTATCAAATGTCATTCCTGGAAGCTCTTCTCTCGCATTTCAAATTACATTATTCCCAGCTACCTGCTAGTAATTACTCGAACCTTAACAAAAGGCATAAGGAGTGTATTTTGGTCTATCTGCTTTTTTTAACCCTATGTAGATCATCACAGTAGTGTGATGGCCTCTTTGACATGTTCAATTTCTTACAGTGAGGGTTTATTTTATATACAGGTGCATCTCAATAAATTAGAATGTCGTGGAAAAGTTCATTTATTTCAGTAATTCAACTCAAATTGGAGGCCTCTGATACTCCTGTTGCTGCCCCCACCCCATCCACCTCAAGTCAGCCAATCCCCCGCTCCGCCTCAGTCTCATGCCATGTCTCTCGTGCATCAGGGGGCAAAAAGCAAAAGCGGACCCCCTTGTATCAGCGATCTGTAAGTGGGCATGATGGGACAGTCTGTGCCGGCTTGATGTCCTCACTGGCAAAGAATACTTGACACTGTAACTGCATGCTTTAAGTTTGGGAGTTGTAAAGCTTTTGGCTTTACAGGGCTATTTGGGTCAATAAAATCTGTTTTTGATTGTCTAACTTTTGACCACATGCCTGCCGACCGTTTACGTACATTTCACTTGATTTGTGGGTGAAGTTCTACACAGAGACCTAGTCCTAACTTTGAATGAGGAGACGAGTTTGTTTGTGTGCATATTCTAATATATAATTGAGTCAGTGTGAAGTGGATTAAATGCATGAATTTTAATTTCTAGGTTTAATATGAAACCGACGGTACTTGCATTTGTGTGTTTTTTAGTATTGTGTAGGTACAGCAGATTTATCCTGGTCATTTTGATCTACTTGATCAAGGAACCAGTTCAAGCAGACCAAACGGAGAAGAGAAACTTAAACCTACATGCCACAACAAATTACTGGGACAGCGTTTCCCCTCTTTAAATTTTTCTTTTTCATAGTTGCAAATACCCGCCGTATTTAAAATCCTGTTTCATCCCATTTTACCATTTCCACACTTGTGTTCTGATCTGTTGTGAAGCAGTCGGATGTGTGGAGAGTGCTGAAGGTCGAAAATTGAGCAAGTGCATTTTTAACTCATCCTATGTCTTATTTCTCCATAGATGAGTTTTGACCCCAGTCTGCTGCATAATAATGGCCATGGTGGCTTTGCCAATGGAACGAGCCTGGGAGTTCGTGAGACGGGAGTGGTTGAAAAACTGCTAGCATCATACGGTTTCATTCAGTGCTCTGAGAGACAGGCCCGCCTCTTCTTCCACTGCTCTCAGTACAACGGCAACCTGCAGGAGCTGAAGATCGGAGGTATGAGCTGAATGGGGTTTGTGAAATGGCAGGAACTAGGGCTGAACAGTGTAACAAATATTATTAAACATAAATATTATTAAAATTGTAGTGTACAAATCTCTGGTAAAATCATCACAAATGTCTTGTCTCTGTATTCAATAACAAGACCTTGTTGCCCGAAATACAAGCAATAAATATTAAGTGTATTGTAATGCATCTTAATGCAGGAACTGACTTCCATGTTTTGTCTGTTCTGCCACTTTTCAGACGATGTGGAGTTTGAGGTGTCGTCTGATAGACGCACTGGCAAACCAATTGCGGTGAAGCTGGTAAAAATCAAGGCAGAAATGTTGCCAGAAGAGCGAATTTCTGGGCAGGTGGGGCCTGACTTGCACGCCTCTCCTTTAACTGTGCTGCATGGTTTTATTCATCCAGTTAAGGAACACATTTTACTTTTGTGTTTTATTGTCCTTGTCCCATTAATGTCCGTCATTGTTGGTTTCGAGCTCATTTTTAATCCATATTGACCTGGAAAATGCATAAATCACTGGTTTCAATTATTAGGAGTAGCAATCCTCTTAACTGACCTGATGCTAATGCTTCGTTTTGTGTGGGTTCACAATGAGCTTGATTGTCTTTGTGTTTTGCGGTCTTGTTGGGAGAACTTTTCGTCTTCATTTAATAATAGAGTTATGAGAGAAAAAAAATCTTGATTTGTTCTCAATGTCGAGTCTGTCATTCATGTACTTAAATATTCAATTTATGACTGGTTTTTTGAACTCAGAAGTACAAGTCAAATCTTAACCTAAATATTCTTTGTTTTTGTTTTTTTAGTCTGCCTTTAGTTCAGAACATGTTGCACATCTGTGTTCAGGGACCTTCTCTTTAGCATTTAAACATGGTTAGTTGATACTGTCTCTCACCAATGCAGCCTCTAACCCTGTCTTGTCTATTTGCACGTCCCCTTTCTTCAGGTAGTGTCAGCTATCCCCTCTCACTTGGACGGGAAGTCCGCACCCGGCCAAGTGCCCACAGGCAGTGTGTGTTATGAGAGGAACGGGGTGAGTGTCATTTATTCTCATTTGCAGAGTTTCCTATATATTTTAGACATTCGCTCATCTTCTTTCCCCCTTTTGAGACCATTTTGTGACCGATATAGCTTAGCAAACCAAAAGAAAAGCTGAGTGACAACAGTTCTGTGGTTCATAAACTGGTCTTTATATGGCACACTGATGGTAGCGGTTGCTGTTTCTGAAAGTGTTTGTGGTTTGAATCTTCTCACAGGAAGTGTTTTATTTGACCTACACCCCTGAGGATATCGAAGGAAACGTTAATTTAGATACTGGAGATAAAGTCTGTTTTTACACGGAGACCAACAAGCAGTAAGTTAATTTCTGTAATGTCTGATTGAAGTCGGTATAATTTCAAAAGCAACATTTTTGGGTGTGAAAATAGTTTGTTTTTGTTTTTCAGTACTGGTGCTGTTAGTGCTCACAACATTGTATTGGTAAAGAAGAAACAGTCAAGATGTCAGGGAGTTGTTTGTGCTACCAAGGTAAGGATCTGATTCAAATATGAGTTTGCAGTAGCTGCTTTTTTTTGTAGACATTATACCGAGGAATAGTGATCTCCTGCCCTCTGGTGGGAAGGAGAATAGCAAAAGACTTCTCTTATCTCAGCATTCTGCTAGAATAGTCAAATGTAGTTGTGTGGGTTTAGCAATAACTTGTATAGTGGTTAATGTTGTTTTTTTGTTTGTTTTTTTACATTTTTGAATTTAAACTTGCAGTAACTTGTAGAACATTGTTCAGAACATAGCTGCAAATTTGGACTCTACAGTTCTAAAATTCAAAACTAGAATGAAAATTTGAATTTTAAAGTCGAGTGCCAGTTATTTTTTTTTCCAAGTATATTTTAAAATATACTTTGTTAAAGTTTTGCTTGTTTCAAATCTATAATTGTTCTTGCAGGAGGCCTTTGGATTCATTGAACGAGGAGATGTTGTGAAGGAGATTTTCTTCCACTACAGTGAGTTTAAAGGAGATCTGGAGGCTCTACAAGCTGGAGACGATGTGGAATTCACCATTAAAGAAAGAAATGTGAGCAATTGATGAAGAAATGTTTTTAAAAAGCAAAAAAAAAATGTATTGAGGATCTGTTGGTCTTTGGTTAGTAACTAATACTAACTGATAAGATACTAAAGATTTTACTTTAAAACACTGAGTGAAATTACTAGTCTTGAGATGCACTGCCGTTTCAAACAGCTGTATTGAGGTTGTTTCTGTGTGTGTCTCATAGGGCAAGGAAGTGGCCACAGATGTGAGACTGTTACTTCAGGGCACTGTTATATTTGAGGACATCAGTATTGAGACTTTCGAGGGAACTGTCGCCAAGGTTATTCCCAAGGTCCCCACCAAGAATCAGGTTTGTGAATCGGCTCTTGCCATTAGTCTTCCCAGACTCCCACGATAACATTACCATATAGATCCTGCTTGCATGTTAAATCGAATAAGACTCCATCTGTCTCTCTCAGAACGACCCACTGCCTGGGCGAATCAGTGCCAGAATTAATTTCACTGACAAAGAGCTGCTATTCGGGGAGAAGGACACCAAGTCCAAAGTGACGCTGCTTGAGGGCGACCATGTCCAGTTCAATATATCCACCGACCGTCGGGACAAACTGGAGAGAGCGACAAATATCGACATCCTCCCTGACACCTTCCATTTCACAAAGGAGACCCGTGAAATGGTGCGACTGCCGAAATTTGTCCTTGTGGTTCCTTGCAAGGCTGTTTTACTTTTTGACAATGTTGGCTTTGTCTCTCTCCTTGTCTTTTTGTGCAGGGTGTAATAGCTGCCATGCGTGATGGTTTTGGCTTCATCAAATGTGTGGACCGTGATGCCCGAATGTTCTTTCATTTCAGCGAGGTTCTGGAAGAGAGCCAACTGCACATTTCTGATGAAGTGGAATTCACTGTTGTCCCTGTGAGTTCCCAGATATCACCACACCAGAACCACTTTTGTGTTCCTGTATATGCAATTTATTTATTTTTATTTTTATATATATCTATATCATCCTGTCAAGCCATCCTGTTTGCTGGATATTAGTATGTAAATTGTAATTGTGGTCTTACATTGACTAGCTTTAAAACATCCCCTCTTTCCTCTATCAGGACATGCTGTCAGCCCAAAGGAACCATGCAGTGCGGATCAAAAAGCTGCCCAAGGGCACAGTGTCGTTCCACACTCAATCTGAGCTGTGTTTTGTGGGGGTGGTGGAGAAAGAAGCTGTGCCTGCTACCACCAACAAGAACTCCAGCCCAAGCAAGGGCAAAGAGAAGGTAGGCTAACTCTTGACTTCCTGAATCTACGCTACCGTTCAAAAGTTTGGGGTTGGCAAGGTGGTTTTGAAAAAAGTTTCTTATGCTCACCAAGGCTGCATTTATTTGATCCAAAATGCAGTAAAACTGTAATATTGTAAAAGTTACAATTTAAAATAATGGAAAGTTGAAAAGAACAGCATTTATTTTAAATAGAAATATTTTGTAACATTGTTTTTTGCTGTCATTTGATCAAATTAGTGTATCCTTGCTGAATAAAGAAAATCGTAATGACCCCAAACTTTTGAAATGTAGTGTATATGCAGTTGATTTTAATGTATTTCTTCTTAAGAGTCCTTAAAGTACACATCTGTGGAGATTTGGTGTAGAACCATCAGTCATAATTATGAAGAGGGAGTTTGAAAATGGAGGAATTTAGTTGCTCAGTATTTCTGTTTTTAATTTTGCTTTCCAAACTTTTGTATTCTGTATCTGCTTGTCTCCCTCTGAATTGGCACAAGCACAAAAAACAATAGAAGGCTTTGAAGTGCTATAAAATGCTACTATCTTTTGTCTGACCTTCTATTCTGTGTTTTGTTGTTTTATTTGTATTTTTTTTTAACCACGCTCTTCTTCATTAGAAAAAAGACAAGGTAGGCTGCTGTTTTCTGCATGCTGCCTCTCCTCCACAGTGTAGACTGTTCAGTCATGCTGTTAGAAATGTATGTTCTGATAACGAGATATACTACTATTTTGAGTAGTAAAGTAAAAGTTTTATTTTTTTATTTGATTTACCTCCAATTCAAACATTTTTTGACTGGTTAAAATTAGTCACGGATGTGTCTAAACCTCCGTATTTCTCTTTTTTTTTTTCCTTTTTTTTTTTAAGGGAACAGTTTGCCCATTACTGTTCGTTTGGTTATGAGGCCTGTTGGCATGAGCTGAGATTTAATAGCTTTAAATCATACAGACACATTAACCTCATAACCAACTCAACCAAGCTGTGCCACTCCGTGTGTGCATTCTTGTGTGAGGGGTATAAGGGTTCAGTTTCTGTCACTCATGCAATTAATTTTTAAAATGTAAACCGCACAGTTCATAAACATTTTCAACCATGGCACAAATGTGTACCAAAACGTGACTGACAAACTGTATGGGAGCAGTTTTACCCCTTGTGTAAGTGTGTGCATGATGGCTAAATATTGTGAAGCATTAGATGTTTGAGTTTTTTATTTTAATTTTATTTACTCCTACTTTATTTTCCCCATGCTTTGGCAAAGGCAAAGCTAGGATTTTTATAATTTATGGCCGCTGATAGCCAGATACCTAATCTTGTTTACATGGTCCTCATGTGTCTGCAGTCTGATGTGTTGAAACTGGCCTTCAGCACTGAAACTTATTTAAAAAATAAAAATTTAGTTCACAACTAGGTCTAATTTCTGTACTTAATCTTGAAGGTGCACTCGGTAGTATTTTCATTTTCAAGAAAAGTTTAAAATGACATACAAACTGACTGTTCATCTCATAAGTCTACAGTATAACAGTCTACTGAGTGGACCTCAGTTCTGGATATATTGGTAAATGTTGTTGGTTCTTATGTGAATGTGTGTATTTGTGTTGTCACCAGGATGCAGAGGAAGGCGAGATTGCATATGAAGACAGTGGAGTGAAGAGCACTCTTCCCTACTATATTAAAGACCTGGAGGGAGGCGCTTACCCACAGCTTGGAGACAAGGTACATTAGACAGGCACTGTGGTTCAGTGTTACTTGTGCTTACTGAATTTATCCTTGGATTAATAGGGTAGTTTTTCAACCTGATAATTTGTTTTAAAGGGGTCCTATTATGCTCTTTTACAAAGTCTTGATTTTGTTTTGGGGGTGTACTAGAACATGCTCTCATGCTTGGTGGTTCGCTTTCGGAAGCCCAAACAAAGAAGTGAAAAAAAACTGCGTTTCAGGCGGTCGCGCTACAGCACAGCAGCTCTTCTTCGTTTTCTCTGATGCGCTAACTCTGCAGCAGCACTTCTTCTTCGTCGTCTCGTCTGATGCACTCACTCAACC